ATTTTCAGGATGCATGTAACTTACCGAGATCTACAAAATGCATTTTTTAAATTTTCGTTATAGAGTTAGATCAAAATGTTGAAAAACATGAGTTTTTTACTTTTTTTCTTAATCCAAGTAATAGCAAAAAAAGTATTAAGGTCATTGTCTAGTAGACTGATCCCTCTATCATCTAAACAAAAAATACAAGTTATTTAATCCAGTTTTAAAATAAGTTATACCGTTTTTCAAGTGGTCTTAAATACATGTCCGCTATTGTATGTACCACCAGAAATGGCTGTTTTAATTTTCCCAATTTATGCAGGCGAATAAAAATTGTTCTTTAGGTGACACTCAGTTATTTATTAACCTTTTGTGCTTACCAATCTATTTGCAACAGCACATTCAATTTCTAATTCAGATTATTTGACTCTCTGAGTTCTTAATGAAAAAGTTTCTAGTTCCACTCCGAGACCATTCCCCTAGCACTTTTCACATGTACCGTGAGCCGAAAGAGAGCTACTTTTTAAATCTTCAAAGTGTGTTAGATATCGGATAATCTTATGTTCAATAGTATTTTATGGGTTAAGTTGAAAAACTTGAGATCGAAAATAAAATCACAGCACTTTTATTCTTCATTTCCATCATGTGTTGTCATGAAGAAACAGCGCATAAATTTTCTTCCACCTGGTATACATAAAATCTGCTTGTATATTGTTTTTCACTTACAAATAATTGAATTTAAAATATCGAAAGCATAACACGTATCAACATTAGCAAATTTTCAATATTCTAGAACAAATTAATAAGTGTAGAGAGAGATCATATGTATGGACATTCTGAAAGAGACCTATGACCGATTAAAACGACATTTGGTGGAAGTGTAAAATAGTAGAAGAGCACCCGAAATATAAACTTTTAGCTTCAAATTTAGTTGTTTCTAAGAGATTATTAATGAGAAACTTTTAACGTTAATCTTAAATCTAGTTAAATTGGGTGAAAGTGTTAACGTACGAAGTTATAAATAACTTGCATTTATAAAAATTCACAATTTGATTCAACTCTTGTTGAACAGAAATATCGATTTCTTGAAAAATGTGCCGAGTCTATAATTATTCACAGCACTGTGTGCTGTTAGGCAACGTACGGAGTAGCGTTCTTCCGGTTACAAGAACTAAAACGCTTTATTTTCGGATATTGCAAAATCCGGTAGGCATTAACTATGTCGATAGCTACTTTACAGAGGATTCGTTAGTCATGGTTGCGTGACAATGACAAGCAATGTCGCGTTACGACGGTAGCAAACAGAAGCAATGGTACAGCCTTGTCCGAAAATTTTCACTTTTTTCGTTTTTTAGACTCCGGCGTTATTCAAATAATATATTTGAAAAATGATTGTATTTGAAATTGAATTAAAATTGCAAAGGGAAGTTATATGGCATCAATTACTTTTTCAGCATTCTTATCTCGTGCAAATCATAATAAAATTAAGAAATTATAATAGATTAACGTCAAAATTAAATTTTAAATAATTTTCTCATCCACTTATGGGTGACGCGGCAGTCAGCGTGTTAGTGTAATTATGATACTGATAATAATTACTGATGATAATTATGACATAAATAGTGCAATTGTGCAATGTTTAATTAATTTCTATTTTATGTATGGATTGCGATTAATTTTGTAAAGACGAGAGGTCAAATTGACGTTTACGGAAGGCAGTTCCGATGACGCTGATCTCGTATTATATATAGATATTATCAAAAAAAACTCTGTTGAGTAACCTAAACGAGGTTTTAGCTAGTACTCTGTTCTAAAAAGTAATTGTCAAGGAAACTTCAGAGTGGTTCGTAATTTCCTGCATAACATATATACAGTATTTATGCTTATACGTATACAATTATTAAATTATGCTTTAAATGATTGCAACCGAGTGGATTTTCAACGCAATAATACTTTTGTATTTTTCTAGAATGATCTTTCCTTTGTCATGAATTCACTATACAGTATTAGATTCTGTAGGTGTAGAGTAGACGTTTAAGATGAAGATACCATTGATAAAAGTTATCAGAACGGATCATGTTTAGAACAGATCATGAAAATGTCCGTGAAAGCAACGTGCGCGGATTCTTGCCGCCACGCACGCCACCGATGTCATCAGTCATCGCTCGTCTGGTACTGGCACAATGCCTCAGGGCCGTAGCTATGTATAATCGTCAACGTATAATAGTACTATCCCATAGATGTTTCATTACATATAACAATGATTACTATTAGATTAATATTTGCATTAATATTCACTACGAAATATAGAACCGCATCAATACCTTTGATGCGCAGATAGGCTTCCAGGACGCCTAAAATAAGTTCTGACTAAAACGATGCACGAAAACAGTGCTTATTTCAAATGTATACCTGTCTGCCTTAATAGCTGTTATTTTTGAGACATCGTTTTGTAGAAACATTAAGCAATCAATTTGTTCAAACGTAAATGTATACATAAGTATAGGACGGTTTGGCCTACTCATCATAACGTTTTAAAATTTTAAGAGCGATGAGAGACAGAGAAAGAGAACTAAAAGAAACAAAGAACTAATAGTATATTTTTAAAAAAACAATTAATAAAACTATTAATAAAAAGAACTGACCAAGAACAAACCCTCCCCGTTTATAAATCACTGTGTTACGTGGGTCATATTGTATGACAGCCGAAGTCTTTTATCATTCTGCGATTAATATCCAAAAATATACAGAATTTATAAAAAATAATGCAACATTGAAGACGTACAAAATAAACGTCTATTGTTTGAGATTATCGTCGTCGATTATGCACAGCTACAGCCCTGATGCATCGTGCCAGGTGAGGGTAGTGTTGATAGTGATGGCTGCATGGCAGCAAAACACCGCGTACGTTGCTTTCACGGATATTTTCTTGACCTGTTTGAAATAAAATGCATTCCGATCATTTTTATGAATGATTTATTCTTCTGAAACCACTACAGTACTTTTAAACCTGTAGTATGTATCTAGGTAAACAACTTTAAAAAAAAAATGCGAAAGTATTCGTTGAGATTGTTCAAAATACACTCGTTGCATAATTTTCAAGCTTTAAAAGTCTGCTATAATAACCATTTCAATAATGCTAATACAACCATTTCAAACAACATAATTTAATGTATATTGCTATATTTAGGAAAGTCTCCTTCATCACTTGAGCCTAGGCAGAACTTTTTGGCGCTTTCGACTTTCACATAATATTTCATTTTTTGCAAAGTGGCCCGTTTTTACAGAAACTTCTTATATTTTTTCTAGAATTAAAGAAGATTATCGACAAAAGTTTCTAATGCACAAAAAAATAGATATCGTCCGAAAGCGAATAATTGTAAATAAACGTAAGTAGAAAAACAAAATTTAATAAGCAATTTATTTTCGTTACAGAATTATTCTATGTTCGAATCTTTTTACGGCATTTTGAAAGAGCATTAATTTCCAAGAAAAAAACATTCCTACAAAAGTTGTTTCGTAGGACGGGGTACATCATGTAATATTAATTGTTTTCTTGTGGGTGGAGTAGTACAAGAGATCTGAAGGTCGACCTAATTTTCTTAAATGGGAGGCTATATTTTTTTCTTCAGAAGGTAACAGCAGGCACTGAGAGAAATTCAAAGTGCTACACGATATTATTCTGAGTTCGATAAAGATAAATCGATACTTTATGTTTACGTCCTGCATTGGTCGACGACCAGCATCCAGCAACCGCTGTTGAGCAGCGTCGGTTGCGTTTGTATCAAATTTCTGCAATTATGATGTTATAAACAAGGATTAAGGATTATTGCTAATGCCATAAATTATCGATTGTAATTTTCACTTACTAATTGAATAATTGTTTATCTTTCTACGCATCCACCATCATTGAAAATACATATTTGTAATCGTTTTAAAAATTGTGTCCGATAGTGTCTTTTTAACATTTCGTCCGATATTGAGCAGCATGCGATTGTAATTCTTGTTCTTAAATCATTTACGTTTTCTACTGAGGTCTGAAAAACTACTTGGAGGCGACCTGTATTTTCAATGATGGTGAACAAATAGGAGGATAAAAAATTATTCAACTAGTAACTGAAAATTGCAATCGATAATTTATGGTATTACCAATAATCCTCAATCCCTGTTTATAATATCATAATTGCGGTAATTATTATTCCATTCATTATTATTAATAACAATAATAAAAAAAACAATTTTGAAAATAATTTTTTAGCCATTTCTAATAAATTAATCCCTCTAACATCTAAAAAAAATTTAGGTTGCTTGGCCTAATTATAAAAAAGTTATTCCATTTTAAAAGGTGTACAAATATGTATATTTTTTACCCACTGTATGTATACGTATATATAATTTTCAGAGATGTAACGCAAATAAAATTTAAAGTAAAAAATTCTATTTCTCTTTTCTTCTAAATACGTTTTGAGAATAAATGATCGAACTCTATTATTGAAACCAGTTCAACAGATAGTCACGTAAAAGTAAACATCAGAGTGTACTATATTACATCACCAAAAAGTATACATATTAACTTAAATACTCCATATTCGACCAGAAAATTCGTAAGAATACAGTAAAAATGACAGTTGTCAAGTGAGCAAGCAATAAAAATAGAAAGCGATTGCACACGACAAATTAAAACATGAAAATAGAAGGTGTTTGAATAATCACGTGCTAACGAAAAGGTGTGGGATGTGGGGGGGGGGGGGGGGGGGGGGCGAGTGGAGGAAATAGGAGGGAAGAGCGGATCAGCGGACGCGGGCATGAGCGAGAGAAAAGACAGAATGCTTCGCTGGGAGTTTCAAAATAAACGATAAAATGAAAGAAACGTTAGTTAACAATCCCGGAGAAAAAAGGCTGGTCACCCAAAGTATCGAAAGCATCGGTAGATCGCGATCGAAACGCAACAGTTCGCGCGTGGACTCGCGTTAAAAATAAAAAAAGGTAAGCGACAATGGAAAAGATGGCGGACTCACCTGACACCTGCAGACGACGTCAGCATCCATTGCAAGCATATCAACGACCTTGCCTTTACCCTCGTCGCCCCATTGCGCCCCGAGGACGACAGTAACTTTTGCCGTGGCATTCGACAGACGCTGTTTTTTTCGCGGCGAGGTGAGAACGCCATCGCCGTTCGCTTGTTGGGCGGAACGCTGCATCTTCGAATGCTGAGAGTGTTCGTAAATTTCAGAGGAATTGAACGAACGGCGCGCGCATGTACGTAGGACGAGATTTCTCGCGCAACTGTTCGTACATAACTTCTATAGAATCGCTCGACTGCTCTGAGTGCTGAGTAGGTACATGTACTGCTTGGTTGAGGCAAACGACATCTGCTGGAAAAATTTCACGATTACGTCATGAAACTCGAAGTTTTCAAGAACCAATATGCCAACACGCAATACCTTATACCTTAGACCACGAAATCTCTAGATCACGGTGTCGTCGTCCGTACACTCTAAGATTAGTTTTTTGTCTAAGATTTGTCTACCTCCCCTTAGTTTTCGCAAGCATCCTAACCAATTTATTCCGCATCCAATCCACAATGAATCCTGTCTTAGCATTGAATCATCAGCCAATCAGAGCAAAGCAATTTCTATTCCTATTCTTGCTAACGGAGATTGTTATTAATCTTCCTTATTGTGTGAACATAGGTCAAGGTACAAGATTCGGAAATGAATAGAAGCGTTGCTGAGGAACATAATTTAAATCATCGTTGAGAGAGAGAGAAAGAGAGAGAGAGGGAGGGAGGGAGGGAGGGAGGAGGGGGGGGGGGGAGAGAGAGAGAGAGAGAGAGGCAGCTGAGAGTTTTTAATGTAAAATAGGAAATCGGGAAAATTGCCCATCAATTTTAAATTTGATTGATTTCATTATTAACATTTGTTTCGTTGTTCACTTATAAAACATCTTTCAAAGCTGCATGTCGTAATTTATGAATGATAGAATTGTTTAGTTATTTCCTTGTTTAAACGTTCCTATTTTTATTTAAAACAGTTTTGTTATTTTAAATTATTTGAAAAAGTTGCATGTTCTGAGTTTCTGCGTGGTCCCAAGAGTATACAGGTAAATACTAAAGACAGGCGATTTAAGCGTTGCATGCACAGGCAAACCCTAAATCACAAATACTCTCACCCAACTATTGAAAGGAGAATACTTAATACAAAAACTATCTTCTTGAGATTAAGGCGATACCTGGAAAATCGCCTTAATTATTCCCAGAAACACAGTGAAATAGCAACAATATATATCCAGTATAAACATAAGATAATTAATTATACAATAAATTATAGAAATTTATTAAAAAGACGCTCTTACATAAAAAATATCACATAACTCAGAAAAAATGTAAAAATGGTCTAATTATGTAATCTAA